ACCGGTAGGTACAGGATTTGTACATGTGAGCTACTCTCAATTTGTCCCAAAATAATTTGTTTTCATCATCTTAACTATCCTAAAATAAAATCTTTCAAGTTTGTGTAAGTGAAGAGCAAATACATTGAGACTAGATAAAATCGAAGACAATATATATGGATTGTGTTATTTATATTTTGATAAAGACAAATAATCTTCTTTCGTATTGGTACGCATGAGATGGTTGAGAAATAAAGTTATTTTCGAACGGAGGTAACCTTCCGTTGGTCCGCATGTATTTTGTTACGGAAAGTGCAAAACTATGTTGGCATTTTGTTAGGAGGAATTTCGATCAAACTCATAAAAATATGAAAAATGTGGGAACAAGAATAATGCAAGCAGAAATTTATTTATACTAATTTTCCAATCTTAGATAACAAACTTTCTATATTTTCTCTCAGTCCTACAGAAAGAGTTTTTACAAATAGCCATAATAAGAGGTCTACGCAAGCAGGTAGAGCAGCCCATTGCCCTCACGTATGTTACGATCAATATATTTCAAGCGGCCAGCACAACCGAACGTGAAAAGTGACTTTCGCACGTACTCCCTCCCATTGCCCTCACGTATGTTACGATCAATATATTTCAAGCGGCCAGCACAACCGAACGTGAAAAGTGACTTTCGCACGTACTCCCTCCGTTTCATATTATAAGACTTTCAAGCATTGCCCACATTCATATAGATATTAATGAATCTAAACACATATATATGTCTAGATTCATTAACATATATATGAATGTGGGCTATGTGTTTAGTTTCATTAATATCTATATGAATATGTGCAATGCTAGAAAGTCTTATAATATGAAATGGAGGAAGTAATCAGTTATGCCACTGGCCTAAATAAAGTCAAAAATTCCAAAAATGCAAAACCCTAGCTCCAGTGGTGGTGCCTCCGTTCTACCCCTGCCACTGACCCCGCCCGCCGTCATCGCAGCGAGCAGCCGGCAGGTAGTTGTCACCAACGTTATCTCTGTCGCGGAGATGTAGGTGCCATCATCGGTAAATCTGTCACGGAGATGAAGGGTGGGAGGGGAAGTAGGGCGAAGCTAGATGTAACACACCAGGTATCCTCTTACCTAGAATGCTACACACCACGGAACAAAAACCACTAAGTCCTAAATTCATTAAGAATTTCGACAGTCTCCCATGTAAATATAAATCTCCACGACAGGCGGTAATAAAATTAAACTAATAATAATATTATTTCCACAGTGATATCCATCCATATAATCCATGGAATATAACCAATAGATATATAAAAGATTATTACAATACTAAACTAGGATATATTTCAAGTGTCATTATGGACCTAAGCAATATAGTTTGATAGTGTGCAGATAGATTTGCATATAAGGGTGCTACTTCCCGCTCATGCATGCCGATCTCAAGCTGTACCTAAAACCAAATAAATACAATAGTGAATACAAAAATACTCAGTAAGTACAATATGGTACTAGAAAACACATATACACAACATTATCAATAAAGTATGAACAGAAAGCTTTCTTTCTTTGATAAGAAACACATTTTCAAACACTAAATCAAAGAAAATAGTAGTTCCCATACTGGTAGACATGAATTGAAATAGTAGTTTTCATTCCGGATAATTGTGAATACATCCTAGCATTTGTCGGTAAAGCCGAGTAAGCGTGATCAGCACTTACTAACAGGAACATGAATAAAAGCCAGATAGCACATCCAGGACTCGCATGGAACATGAATAATTGAATCCGGAAATAGAGAACCAAATTGAAACCATATTGCACATCTATGGCAAGTATGAAACTTGAATTATTTAACCAGAACCAGAGTCCGGAATATTTAAACAAGAATAACATCGTAAAGATAAGATAAAGTTGAAATCTATATGGTGTGAACAACAATTTGAACATAAGCTATCATACAGAAATATATCGAAAATAAATAGATAGAGCAAACAATTCATGAATCACACAATTAGTTCGTCATGCATTTGCCTTTAACCTTGACGGTAACTCGACGCAACACTCTCCACTCCAGATCTCTCCACACCTGTGAAGCAAAACTACGAATAAATCACTATATTCAACTAATGATAGTTACAAGGGATATTTACTAAATTCAAAACTTAGAACATGTAAACTTTTTACCGATTTGTATTAAACAACCTATAGCAGTTCCATTACTGTTTTATGCATAACTCGCAAACCGTCTAATGGAATCTAGCAAGTAATACAACTTCATTCATCTAGATAAAATTATCTACAACTTTCATGTTGGGCGAAAAATCAGGTTATGCTTCCGTAGGTCTCAGATTAAGGAAAACGAAATGCTGTCCCTATTTTTTGATCTGGCAGCAGTACTTTTTTTTTTGTTATTTCTCTTAAACCGTTTATCGGAATTGAGCGAAACCAGCGCCGTTAGAAAGATATTGACAATGACTACAAACTTTATTTAGGATTCATAACCTGAATCCTGATCGTTTGATACCAGATTTGAAAATACGGTTTCAAACCTATAATCAATTAGAACCTCAAAAATTGTGAGCAGCTATCGAATCAATTTCTATTTGAATCTTTTACTTTCGGGACTAAAAAGAAGTTGCCCTTCCAGAGTAGGGACAGTAATTCACAACAAATTACACTGATTTGCGAAATCACCCAAAATCCCCAATTTCTCCTATTGCTTTACCTCTGTCCTCCCTGTTCCTTCTCTGCTCTTCCTTTCTCTGAACTTGGGAGGCTGAATCAACCCATAGCAGCAACAGATCAACACACACAGCAGCATCAGAAGTTGGAGTCCAACACACAGCAGCCAAAAAACAGCTGGCCACACATTAGCAGGAGCAGCGGCAGGAAACGCAGCAGCAGCTCACCAAGAACAAATCAAATTGGCGGCGAAGGACGACGACGGCTGTGGCGACCGACGTCGGATGCGGCAGCGATGAGGCGGGGATGGGGACGATGGCGGCTAGCGCTAGCTGCTAGCGATCCCCTTTTTTTTGAATCTTTTTTTTCTGTTGGTTAAATAGAGAGACTAATGAAGATCGAACGGCCCACATTAACTCGATCATGCGAAATACCAGTGGACTCCAATTACCATAAACTTATAGTCTACTTCGCACTACACGGCGAGCTCTATGCATCCATGATTCCTGATCGTATATTCGAACAATGGTTAAAAAGGTGAACTTTTGCGCGTTTGTTTTAATATTTTCCGAAATACACTAATTCGAAACTCGGGATATTACCCCAGAGAGGAGGCGGGAGTGCCAAATCCATCGTCCCCGACCACCCTGGAGGTGGATCCGCCCCTCATGAGGCTAGCGATGGTGGATCTACCCCTCCCGAGGCCGACACCATCAGATCCACGTGGGAGGGAGGGGGAGACCGCTCTCAAAACCGGTGACGGCAGATCCACACCTCCCCATGTCACCGCCAAAGAATCCACACTGCTCGAAGCCGGTGGCCAACCCTACCGCCCGAATCCCGGCCACCTTCCAACCGTGTGTAGCCATCGTCGTTGTCGCCCCTCCCACGTTGTTCACTTTTGTCACAGCGCCAACACACCACACCGGTCGCTCCTATCGTCACACGCCAGATGCTCACATCGCCAGAGTGTAGTAGAGGGAGGGGGTGATATAGAGGGAGGAGAGGGAGGGAATGAGGACGGAGTGGACTGAGAAGAATGAGAGGAGGATTTAACACGAAAAAGAGAGGAAGGGGTGGACGTGCAGCAAACCGACTAAATTTTCATATGCGGTTCTCTTAACAAGCCCGTCTACGCAAATAAACCTATTTTCACAAGTGGGTTTGTTAAGAGATCCGCATATGAAAATTGATTTTCGTAGGCATGCTATTATTAGACATTTTCTAAATCTTTGTACATAAGGCATTGAGGCTATTATTTACCTGTTTGTAAAAAAAAGAAGAGGTTGTTCGCAATTCATTTTTCAAGCATTGTCTCTACAACTCGTACAAAAGAAAAATTTTTATTTGGTTTTACTATACTTTACTGCTACAAACAAGATGTCAATTGTAAGAATTAATCTTAAGAGTACGCATGTGAACCCCAAGGTAAAAAACATATATAAAGAGTGGTAAAGAAGAAAACTATATACATATATATTACAATCATGCAAAATAACCCAGCAAGTATATATAAGTGAATGGCCCCAACATAAATAATTGAAAATCATTCATTAATGTTAGATAAAAGTAATACATAATTAATTAGTAATCTTGTATGCGCGCGGGAGTGGACACGTGTCCCCCAGTTCCCGATTTATTTTTTTTCTTCGGTTCTTTTTTGCGGTTTATTCGGTTTTACTTTTTTTATACGTACGGGATTTAAAGTTTATATATGCGTATACAAGCTTTGTATACGTATACGCGTATACAAACTTTTTATATGTGATATTTTTTCTGGGTTTTTTTTCCAATTTTTTAATATGTAGATATACAAAGTTTGTATGTGTAGATATACAAAGTTTGTATACGTATGTATACAAAGTTTATATACATGTATATATTTTTATACGTTAAAAATGTATACATATTAAAGAAAAAATATATTTTATATATACGTTTGTACATACTTTATATATATACATATAAACTTTAAATGAAACTGATTAGTTTGGCAATGATATTATACAAATGTTTTATTGGCACAATAGCTATAAGAGATAAACTTAACACAATTACCTTACACGGAACAATTATTATATATATGCATGTTGTGTTACATTTTGCAAATGAGCTATAGATACTCGCCAAGGCTAATAATCTATAAAGCCAAGTAACAAACCCCTTTATAGCTAATCGATTGAGAAACTATCCATTTATAGTTTTTACTGGACATGATCATTATGCAGTGACTGAAAGGAGGGAAACAAGTACACACGTGATCTTATTACTATATATTACTATTATGTTTGTTCTCTTTATAAACATAAGGGGTCTGAGGCCATTTATTGCTAGTATATTTTCTTCAAGGACATAACGATAAGTGCAAACTTTGTCTTCTCCCTCTTAAGGTGCTGGGCCACAAGGGACCTAAACTCTTGAAACAACGCATCGAGTATGTTTCCTCCAAAATGGCTTGCTATCAAGGACTCCAGGACTGACCTAATGAGATTACTGATATTCAGGCTGCTGTTGGCACCGTCAAGAACAACATCACCTTCTGAATCGTCGTAAGGATCCCAGTTTGCCTCAAAGAGTTTGATGTGATCCAAGTCGAACATATGGCTTTTCGTAACAATTTCCTTCACTTTGTCAACTGATGGCCCATAGGTAGGTAGGTTGAAGGATTCCAACTTTTCCTTGCTCAGCAGGCCCTATCATGATCAATCAAAAGTTAATTCGTACAAGCACACCTCTTCTCAGTGTATTAATTAGTGATATCACTACTTTTAATTACCTTCCCAACAAGTGATTCTAACGCCTTTGTGACAAATCCATACATATGATTGAGATCTCCTTTATATACATCCTCATCCTTCCTTCCGAGAAATATTAACACCATGCGTCCTCCATTTACTAGTTCTTCATGGCGGAGCTGAAGGAAAAGGGAAAAGTCCTTCTGGAACTGTTCTTGGAATAATTTCACCACTAATGGTGATGTGGTGGAGCTGATGTATACATCCTGATTCAAGAGAGATTTTCCACTAGCCTCTAGTCCCTCAGGCACCTATAGGTACATATTAGTATTTCAGAAAATTACCCACAACTATTCTATTCAGGAACAAAACCAAAATTGCATGCATGCAAGATGATTGGTACAGATCATATAAGGAAGATATATGCAAATGCATAAACAACTTATTTACATCAATAGTTGTACCTGGGAAAGCCAGTGAAGACTGTAGGAGGAGTGGAAAAGATGAACACTTTGTCGTGGGAAAAGTCTAGAGTAATAGGATTTTGGCAAACCGGATATATAATATGATGGAGGTAAATCTCCCTTGTGACCTGTTGTAGTTGAGTTTTTGATATTTTCGAGTGATCGAAAGAGTTGGTTGAAGTCATTGCCTGGTAGGTCGTTAAGGATGAACTGAAGTTCAACATGATCATGTTCATCCAACTTACTGCAGTGGTGTGCTATCATGTTGATGACATTGGACATGAAGAGCATTGTATTTGGTCCTGTAGAGCAACCTAAGTCTGCAATGACCATGGTTTTCGGGAGAAGAGCCTTGTACACTTCTATTGTAGCTTTCTCGATGACTGGCTTAGTTTCATTTGTAACAATTGTCTAGCAATGAGAAAAAAAAAGAAAATTTTGAGCTCTTAATCATGACTATACACATATTATAAGGTTGTATAATTGCTACCTTAAAAAAAATACATATCAACCTATGTTTAATATATACATATGTAGGTCATACATAAAAAATTGAGGCCCTGGTGTGAAATATAAATTCAGACCCTATATTTAGAAAAATAGCCAAGAAACAGAAGAATAAATTAATAGTAGTGTCGGTGACTTAAGAATGAGGGTCCCCAGACAATCAGGCGTGCTATTAGGATACCATGTGTTGAAACGTGCGGCCCAAGATCTAAGTTCGGAATGAAAGTGGATGTGGCGTGTGGCTCATCTTGGAGAAAAAGGGACATACCCCTCGGGGCTCCTGAGGGATGGCGTCCCCAGTCAAAGTATGAGCTGTGCGTTTAGACCATTCTTGGGTACATAATCCAACTGACTTACTCGTATGTTTGATACTTTGATGGGAGTGTTATTGACCCAGGGGCAAAAAGCATGGAACGCAGGGCAGCAACTACGGTAGGTACTGCCCATCACTTTGCTGTCAGACCTAACACAGTCATGGTGAACTGGAGGGGACGGTTGACTACCATGTCCTGTCTAGGGCCCATTTCATTAACAACATTTCATCAGACGATAACAGGTGGACCCACAGCCAACTAGCCAACTACATGCATGCGTGAATTTGGTGGGGGGTATGTGAAGAGCTACCACTGTGCCCTGTCTTTGGTAGGCCCCCTGCTCCTAGCTTTCCCTAGGCCATAGTGGTTCCAGTGGCTTAGGCCATTCCTAATCCAATGACTAGGATGGTGTTTATAGCATTAAATAATCTGCCACCTAAGATGAAAAATGATGTGGCAAGTGAATAAATGAGGAAAGAGAAGGAAACCATATCTTGCATGAGACATGGTTTCTACACAATATCCAAGACATTATGTGAGATAAGTAGCATTAAATTTAAGTATGGAATAGTGGTGTTTGCATTGGGAGAGTGGTGTCTAGTACTAGTTTCTTGATGATATGGAGTTTATGAAAACTATGTCAAGTGTCTTGGGTTGGGAATGGCCATAGAGTGGAAGGCTCTAATCATTCCCAGCTAATAGCAGGCCCTGCTAGGGTAGGCCCCAAGGCCGGTGGAGTTGGCAAGACAAGGAGTTATTAACAAGACTTACCATACTTACTATATAGGGGTACGAATCAAATCTTCCCTTGAAACATTGGTCATGTGGTGTCTCACCAAAGCAAGTATAGGGGAGAGAGGGGACCAAGGGAGAGGGGATTAGGAGAGACTTCAACACAGTTAGAAAACAGTTATTCTAAGTTCTTAAGAAGCCTAGAAGAGAAAAGAAGAGAAAATACTCTAAGTAGAGAAAAACTTGTAATATTCTTGAATTGAGAAAAGAGAAATCACCATCACGATAGGAGTAAGTTGTTACACCTTCAGATGGCTTGAACCTGTATAATTTCGTGTCTATCTAGCTTAGCGTTGCAGGATTGGGGGCCTCTAAGGGCCTGTTTGGCACAGCTCCAGCTCCGGCTCCACCTCTCCTAGAGCTGGGTGGAGCGCTATTACAAAATGAACTAGAGAGGTGTAGCTGGGTTTAGGCAGCTTCACAACTCTACTCCAAACTCAACTTCTGGAGCTAAATTTTGAATTTAGACCTCTACCAAACAGAGCCTAAACCTCAGGCTCACTTGCACCAATTGCACGGCGGAACTCACTGAAAGAGGGTCCCACCAGATCCTTGCTATCGGGGTCAATTCCCTAACAAGTGGCCCTTTACCTAAGTTAGAAGAAGATTGGTTGGTAGAAGAATTATGTCCTGATGCATTTATGTATTTATTATTAAGTGAAAAAATAAATTCTCTGAAAAGCACGTTTATATCATTGTCATGAGCCATAGCTCTTTGAGGTGGCCATAAAATACCACCAAACACTCACCTGAGCTAAAAAATAGACCCGTTGTAGACAAATCGAAAGAGGAGTAAGAGTGATGCTTTTTTAAAAAAATGGTACGAGACACCTTTAAATATATTGAAACATATTGATATGGATTATGATATTTAAAAAAAATGTGGTTTTTAGAGGTCTCTTGGGTCATCCACTCTGCACTATCTCATTGACGAGCTTGCACATATTTATGTATCTTGTATGATATATTTTAGGTCAATCAATAACCATAACAGATGTATCCGTACATGTAAACACATTTCTTCGGTGGTACCAACGATTATGGCTACTTGTGAATTGCAGCATATATATTGAGTGAGATGAGGACAGAGATTGACGTTTTTAGCAAAAAAGAAGACATGGCACCGTACCTTAAGTGCAGCAAAAATATATTACAATTTTAATTTGATAATTCGAGGAAAACCTTGTTTTATATATATCTGATAAATTAGAAAAAAATATTTTTGCCAAGTAAACCATGTATATATGACATGATTTCGTTGTTATTTGTAATACCTCAGGTAACCACATATCTAGAGTGTCACATCAAAATACACTCAAAACCACTAACTCTTAAAATTATTAGAAATTTTAGCATAGTCTCCTTTCTTCTATCTAATTTCCCCTTCTCTGACTCCTTCCTGTTCTTCTCTGCCTTCTAACCCTCCTCTCTGTACGATGCAGATGATCAGCAGCAGCAGCATCAACGAAGATCAGCAGCACCAGCAAACCATGCATCACTAGCAAGGAAGAGAATCAGATCGGTAGCAGCAGGGAAATTAACAGGAGCCGCAGCAGCTCAACAGCTACCGGCTGTGGACGACGACGGCTTGTGATGACCGGCGACGGCTGCACCGGCGCGACCGGAACACAGCAGCAGCGGCAGGGCGCAGGAGCCTAACGGCTAGGGCTACAGGATCTATCCCTCGATTCTTTTTTTTTTCTGTTTTCTGTTAGTTAAATAGAGAGACTAATGAAGATCGAACGGCCCACATTAATTCGATCACCGGGACTTTGTTCGGACTCCGATTCATGTAAACTTATAGTTTATTTCGCACTACTCGGCGAGCTCTACGTATTCACGGTTCCTGATCGTCTATTCGAACAACGGTTTACAAGTTGAATTTTTACGTGATTGTTCAAAGATTCCCCGAAATACACTAATTCGAAACTCTGGGTATTACATTATTTGTACATGCGACCTGAGAGAAGAACATAAAGGGAAACACGTACATATATATATCTGTGCAGTGTGCGTGATTGAGAAAAAACGAAGAGCAATCACCTGACGCCTGGAGTACTTGGCATAGCTACCTTCTCCTTCCCCACTGGTCATATGTAAATCACATTCGACGTTCACCATGGCTTGTCTTGGACTAGCAAGAACAGCCAGCAAGCTAATATGATATGATGCATCCTCCCCATCGCTAGGTGCCATTATTTATACTAATCAATCTAAAATTAATGTGCAAGAGAATATCTGTGCCTGTCCACATGCTAAATTGTCCTGCCGTGTCACTCTCGCATAATAAGCCATAAGGCTCGGTTTGAAAGCCTGTTTAGCTTTAATTTTACAATTTCTTCGTGTGTTGTGATGGCCACGCTTCCCAAATAATTAAATGATATGTTTTTAAAGAAACTTTTAATATAGAAGTTTCTTAAAAAATTCAAATTTTTTGTCTGAGTCCTAAATATAGCACCTTAAAACTAAACGGGAGATTGATCCTTTATTTAATTAGCTAGATTAGTCGTACTAAATTGTGTCCTGTCCAGTACTGAGAGAGTAGTTAATACTTAAGTAATCATATGTAATAGTCATACATATCATTTTACAAAATCTTCAGCCAAAAACACCTTCTAACTGAGCATATTATCTGTTCACATACAGTGCTTTGAGTTGTCTGACAGTAGGTTTGAGCAGATAACAACAGCTACCAAGACGACATCACCCGCGTATTTTTAATCTGAACCACGGAAGGCTTTGGTTTCCAGAGATGAGGCAACCCAATGGCAACACGTAGCATGCATGGAACTCACAGGTTAATTATCTGTTAGCTCACATAGGCACCCAATTAAATGGCAACAATGCAAGTAGCATGAAACTCCATATCCATATGCATTCTACTAATTAAATGGCAAAACGGATAGCCTTTAATTGTTATTGGCCACAATATATATGGCTGGAGGACCATATGCCGATATGCGTCTTGCTGAAGTGACTCATGTGATAATTCACAGTGCGTAGCATGTTTTATAGCTAGCGTGCCTAGTCAGATTTGTCCTACTAAGATTGTGACAAAAATATTACATACTAGGTGATTCCCCATGCTTTGTTTTGGAAATTACTAAGCAATTTTAAATATATTATTTTCAAAAATCGAGCTAGTAGTAAAAGGAAAAGAAAATAATGAAACATATTGATGTGGAACAAAATGATACCTTTGATTTAATGTGGAATATATTCATACGTATATGTTAAATATTTTGAAAATGATAGATATATTTGTTAAAATATTGTGGAAATGATGTGAGGGGTAATGATTGATATACTTGCATGTTGATTTGTAGAATTAAATAAATTATAGATGGTGTTGTATGTTTGCATGAGGTTAAATTAAATATATAATTATTGTTAGTAGGTGATGGTGTGGCATGGTTGCATGTTGAGCTTTATGAGTTAGTGGGCATCAACTTTATAGTAAGATAAGATCAACTTAGGATATATATGTAGATTAATTAGCCATGTGAGGTAATTAAGTTTGGATTTGTCACCCGACGTATCTCTACTATTATAAAAATTAGAGATGTTTTTGCCGGTATTTTGGCTAGCTGGCCATATGCCACCCCTCCGCTCGTCATGCTCATCCTCTTCGTTATCATTTGGATTTATTTTCTATAAAAAAAATTGGAACTTATCATTGCTAAGTTCATTATTTTTCGTTTTTAGAATTCTGGCAGCCAACACATTCCTCTCGCCTCCTGCCCCCCCCCCCCCTGCCTAAATGGGGGTTGTCAAAAATTGAAAAAAACTTGAACAAATATGTAGGTGAATTATCACTTGTATTAGTTTGAATACAACACTTCATGGAGCTAGAGCCCATCTCTCAAGTGTGATGAGATGCATATATATATATATATATATATATATATATATATATATATATATATATATATATATATATATATATATATATATATATATATATATATATATATATTTAAGGATATATAAGTGGAACCCTTGTTTGACATTTCAAGCAAAAGGGAACACTTGTGATGCCACTATTTGTGCATTTGTGCAATACTCTCTTTTAGATAATGGATTAACTAAAACCCACACTCTACATCCTACATGTACATGACCAAAACTGTGCAATACTCCTGTCAACAAAAACTAACAGTTGTGCAACTGTAACTTCCAGGAAACATCCAAATTAAGAGAAGCGCTAATACAGAGGTAATGTCAATCCAAACAACTTTATGGTGTTGCGCAATGCCTAACATTCATCATCTCCTCTCCAACTTGCTTCAAACCAACGACCACTCCACTCTACGAGCTCCAAACTCCACCCATATCTTTTGCCACATACTACTTCCTCAGAATAAGTTAATTAATCTGAGATTAATTTATTTTGGATAGACGTCTGTCCAGATTTATAAAATTAGGATGTGTCACATTCTGTGCTATCACCGTAATGGTATTTGATTAGAGCAAGTTTAATAGTATAGCCAATTACTAACTCCAAATCATCTACAGCTAATGTAATAGCCAATTCATACAATAGTTGCTTACTATACTATTAATACCCAGTCCTACCTGTCATACACACATTACGTCTTAGAGTTCGTGCTGCAGCTGGCTACAGATCTGTAACCCACTGCTCTTCTCACTCTTCCTTTATCTATTTAAAATATGTTTATAGCTGAATTATAGCCTGCTATTGTACCTGCTCTTAACAATGTAATGATCCAATTGGAATGATCACCTCTGCAGACTGACGAGACCCTGATCTCAATGAGTTATCACTTTCAGCTGAATCTGTAGTGCTTGTCCACCTAAGCGCAGCCGCCGGCGACGCGACCAAATGCTGGAACGGGTTCACCGGCGGCGCGTCGATGTCCACCTCCCCTTCCAGCATCCTCACCACGGCGCTCATCGGCGGCCTCGCCTCCGGCTGCTGCTGCACGCACCAGAACGCCACCTTGCACATCCTCTCCACCGTCTCCCTCTCCTGCTTGTCCATGGCGTCGCAGCCCTCGATGGCCTCGGCGAGGTGTCCGGCCTCGTGCTTGCTCCACGCCAGCATCGGGAACCACTGCTGCTGGCTCCCCGGCGCGCCGCCGTCGTCGAGGTTCCGCCGCCGGCGGACAATCTCGAACAGGAGCACGCCGAAGCTGTACACGTCGCACTTCTCGGTCACGCCCGCCTGCATCCACATCTCCGGCGCGGCGTAGCCCGGGGTGCCGCGCATGCCGGACACCGAGACGTGCGTGTCGCCGCGGCTCGCCAGCCGCGCCAGCCCGAAGTCGGCCACCTTGGGCGTCAGGCCGCCGTCGAGCAGGACGTTGCCGGGCTTGATGTCGTAGTGCACGATCTTGTGCTGGCACTCCTCGTGGAGGTAGCGGAGCCCCCTCGCGACACCGACGGCGATGGCGCGCCGCGTCGCGACGGCGACGGCGCGGCTCCGGTCGAACAGGTAGGCGTCGAGCGCCCCGTTGTCCATGTACTCGTACACCAGCGCGCGCACGTCGGCGTCGAAGCAGAAGCCGAACAGCCTGACGAGGTTGATGTGGTGAATCCTCCCGACGCTGCCCACCTCCGCCATGAACTGCTCCTGCGACGTCGACCACCCGTCGCCATGGCCGCCGACGTGGAGGCGCTTCACGGCGACCGTGAGGCCGTTCGGGAGCATGCCCTTGTACACGGTGCCGAAGCCGCCGGCGCCGAGCCGGGCCGAGTAGTTGTTCGTGAATCCGGCCAGCTGCTGCGCCGTGAACCGGATGGGCTTCTCGCCGGCGATCTCTTTGAGAAACCTCTCGACGGTGGCGTCGCGTATCTGGGAGTCGGGCACCACGGCGTACATCGCCGCCGCCGCCGTCGGGTTGGTGTTGATGTTGACGGCCGGGAGGCCATTCTTCTTGACACATCTGTACACGAGGTAAACAATGGCGACTGATCCAGCAATGCTCACCACTGAAAGCACTGCATCACCAGAGATCAAAACCAAGCATCATCTCAGTGAAACCAGCTCATCATCTCGAAACAAGAAACTGAAAATTGAAAAGAACAAAAGAAAGAAAAAACATGTACAAATTGCCGAGATTTCACGCACCGACGACGATGGCTAGGAAGGAGTTGAAATTGCTGGAGGCTTGCTTGTTGAAATCGTCGAACGACTGGTTGGGATTAGCAGACATGTTGGTGGATGAATAATGAATTACTGCTGCAAATGAAGAACGAATTGGGAGGATTCTGAACTTCTTGGTGATCCAAACTCTGAAGCTGATCGATCAAGCTTGCATGCAAACTAACAATGCGTGTAGCATATGCAGCTGTAATCTGGGGCTGAATTTATAGCACTCAAGGGGCTATCGTGTTGGGACAGCAACCAAAGAACTGTTCATTGCCGCCGTTGATATGAAGTATTCATCGACGCAATCACTCAGTTTCGACCCTTCCATTCATCAAATTTTGCAGAAAACTCCCTTATTTTCTCTTTTTCAGAGCGCGGTCCTATACTTGAATTTTTTTTCATCTTCACATAAGATATATCAGGATCTAGAGGGCCTTTACATAAGAATACATAAGATAGTGAACTTACATTTAGGGACTTAAGAAAGATTATCAAGTTAAGCGAGGACTTTTTTGCAAAATTGCCAGCTCCTGCACCAGGCGACGTGGCCATCACCGGAAGCAAACATGCCAGTAAGAAAAGCCTCGGAGCACTCTGGTGCAAGCAGATCGCCTTCATCTTTAATTACTTCGATTCTGAGTGCAAGATCTTTGCATCCTGTTGGGCCACGTGGCGCCCTATCAATCAGGCAAAGTCCCATTTCAAAATCTGTCACGTGTCCAATGATGCTCCAGTATAATGCTCCAGTATAGTACACATCTGTGAATGTTCTAGAAAAAAGTTCAAATAGATTAGCTGGCCCTCTCAATTCTCTACTCCATTCGTCCCATTTTAAGTGCAATCATGATTTTTCTATTAATTATAAAAAAATTTCAAATAAGACATACGATCAAAGTTGAGCGCGGAAACTTACGGTTGCACTTAAAATGGGACGGAGGAAGTACTCACTCCGTCTAAAAAAACCAACCTAGTAATGGATGGGACATTTCCTAGTACAACGAATCTGGACAAGCTCCTGTCCAGATTTGTTGAACTAAGAAAACATCTCATCTAATTCTAGATTGATTTTTTTTTTTTGAGACGGAGGGAGTAGAAACACAGAGAGATTATCAAGAGAAGACGCAGGTATCCCCTCCACACACACACAACTATCAATCCCAATCAGCTATCAACCTGTCAATCGCTTCAACCTGTCAATCAATCGCTTTATCATATTCTGGATGAATAGCATATGGTTCATAATTTTTAATGGAGAATTTCCTATAGTTAATTTTATCATTTTCTGAGTAAATTGATATAAAAGAATTATTTATCGGTAAACATGCAGGGGGAAGACGCAAGGGAAAAAACCGTATAAAGGGAAAACTAAAACAAAAGGCAAATTTAAGAAAGTTAAGTGCCATTAATAAATAATAATAAAATTATTACTTACTACAAATATATAAATACAATTATTAATCACCAATAATTATGTTATGCTGGGTGTGCTGAGTATATTTCCTATTGGCTAGCCCATTACGTGATTTTGTCGCGTTTCTTCGTCCGATTTGCAGCGCACCACGCCGGCCAGCCCCTGCCTCCTCGTGCGTATGCTAGGCTCGGCTGTCTTGCTTGCACCTCCGGAGTCCCACTGGGCCCTGCTGCTGGCATCGAGAAGGCTAACGGGCGATCGATAGCTGCCAGCGATCAGTTTTTTTTCTTTTTCTTTTTTAGTAAATTTATACACCTAAAATTTACACATCTAAAGATTATCCACCTAAAGTTTGTAAAGCGAATATTTATAAGACAAAAGTTTATATACCTGATTTAAATTCAAATTTGAATTCAAATATTTATATTTTCCTTTTAGGAAGTTTATACATATAAAGTTTACACATTTAAAGTTTATCCAGTTAAAGTTTGTAGAGCGAATGTTTATAAGTCAGAAGTTTATATACCCGATTCAAATTAAAATTCGGATTCAAATATTATATATATAAAATATTTTATATATAAAGTTTATGCGTGCAAAGTTTATGCACATGAATGAGAATGAGAGTATTAGATTTTTTTTTCTAATTTTTTTACTAACTTTGTGTTTTTTTTTTGAATTTTACGATGAAAGGACATAATAGAGAGGAGTATAGGGGGAAGGGGCGGGTTGATCGCTCCCAGTGATCGCCCGCCCATTAGATTCCCCCAACTGGGCTCAATTCGTTCCTGTGTTGGGACAAGGTGATGTTCTTAACTGGTGAATACAAGGAAAAAGCCCACTTTGACTCTCTTAAAAAGTAGGTCAAATCTAATTCATACCCCCTCAACCAGAAAATCAGATAGGATGACTCTCCGAGTTATTGAAACCAGTGCAATTTGACTCCTCTAATGGTTTTGGAGGGCGGTTTTACTGACGTGGCGCTTATGTGGCGGCGCTACGGCAGTGCGGCTATGGAGGTCGCGTGATTGGGGTCTTGCTAATGCTATTATCGCCTCGGTGAATCCATGGAAATGCCGCGAAGAAGGCGAAGAAGAAGCGGGCCGGGGCAGCAGGAGATGTTTGCTTTGCAGTTTGCAGCCAGTGCAAAGGAGGAAAAGGCGGGAGAGGCGATCGACATGGTCCCCATGGATGGATCCGGTTTGGAGTAGACAACAGATGGGATGGATGGGTAGGTGGTAGGAGAAGACGAGACAAGCAAGGTTAGTAGTAGTACCAGTAGAATCCATTAAAGACGAGAAGAGGAGAGAGCTCTTCCTCCTATTACTCCTATCAATCGGCAGCAGGTGGCATTGGATAGCAACGAAATCAAACAATTAACAAACAGCAGCATGAAAAGAAAAGATTCGGATTGATTAATCCCAAGCGAGGAGGAGGAGGAGGAAGGAGGGATTGGCCAACCTGAAAAGCTGCCGCTTTTGGAAAGCGACGGAAGGAACAGTTGGTCACCTCCTCGACCCCCAAAACGGCAAACTAAGCGTGTGTTTGGTTCTCGGTCAAGGTTGGGTGGGATATGATAGTTCATATTTTGTTAGATATGGTGGTATAGTTTTTGTTTGGTTGTGTGAATATGGCGATCCAGTTTTTTTTTTGTTGTAGGGACGAAGGTGGATTTGATGATCCAATTTTTTTGTTTGGTTGGAGGGACTGGGAGTATGGTGGATTTGTAGGTGTGGTCACCTCTCACTTGAGATGGTGAATATACCCCATCAAATCTATTATATTATTAAAAGAATAGAAAAAGGAGCCTCCACATTCGCTCTCATGGCCTACAAATTCTCACATAAATCAGTGAAAAAGACAAAGCAGAGTCTATATATAAATACAATTTAGAAATAGCTGAAATTCAGAATTAAAAATAAAGAATATTAGAAGAGGAGACTAGAGTCGATATAAAAATACAATTTAGAAATAGTTGAAATTCGGAATTAAAAAATAAGGAATATTAGAAGAGGAAAGTAGAGTCCATATAGAAATACAATTAGGAATTAACTGAAATTTGGAATTAAAAATAAGGAATATTAGAAGTAGAGTATGGAGTCCATATAGAAATACAATTAGGAAATAACTGAAATTCGGAAATAAAAATAACAAATATTAGAAGTAGAGTATAGAGTACATATATAAATACAATTAGGAAATAACTGAAACTCGGAATTAAAAAATAAGAAATATTACAAGAGGAGACTAGAGTCCATATAGAAATACAATTAGAAAATAACTGAAATTCGGAATTAGAACTAAGGAATATTAGAAGTAGAGTATAGTGTTCATATAGAAATACAATTAGAAAATAATAGAAATTTAGAATTAAAAATAAGGAATATTAGAAGTATAGTATATAGTACATAGAGAAATACAAATAACTGAAATTCGGAATTAAAAATAAGAAATATTTAAAGTAAAGTATAGAGTCCATATAGAAATATAATTAGGAAATAATATAAATCTGGAATTAAAAATAAGGAATATTAGAAGTAGAGTGTAGAGTCCATATAAAAATACAATTAAGAAAAAAATAGAAATTCAGAATTAAAAATAAGGAATATTAGAAGTAGAGTGTAGAGTCCATATAGAAATGCAATTAGGAAATAACTGAAATTCGGAATTAAAAATAAGGAATATTAGAAGTAGAGTATAGAATCCATATAGAAATACAATTAGGAAATAATAGGAATTTAAAACTAACTAAAATTTGGAATAAATATAATAAAATTAAAAGTAGAGTTTAGAGTCCGTATAAAAATACAATTTACAAATAACTAAAATTAGAAATTAAGAAAAACATGGAAACAAGAGTTTAAAGTCAATATAGAAATACAATTTAGAAGTAAATAAAATTTCGAAATTAAAATTAAAGAATATTAAAAGATGAGTTTAGAGTCTACATAGAAATATAATTAGAAATAATAAAAATTCAGAAATAAAAATAAATAATATTGGAAGAAGAGCATAGAGTCCATATAGAAATACAATTTACAGAAAATTCGGGAATAAAAATAATTAATAACTAACACGTATATAAAATACAATATGAATATTACACATTTGTAGTGTCATAAAGTTATTGCAAAATTTAAAATTATGATGTCATTTTAATATATTTGAATAATATAATGAGAAAACATATATGCTATTATATGAAAGAAAATATAATGATGCTAGCCGTGCAATCTACGCAGGCCACCATGTTAGTTAATACATAATACAATTTTACACCGCTACTTCCATTATAAATACACATATATAGAAAAAAACAAAAAGAAAAAAGAAAAAAATTACATGGCCGGATCTGGGGCTCGCCGCCGGCGCCTCCTCCCGCCAGCCGCCTCCTCCTGCCGGCCGCCGCTCACCTCCTCCCCCCGCCTACCGCCACCGCCACCTCCTCACGCCGACGCGGCGCTCGCCACCCGTATCATTGTCGTCATCGCCGGGTTCTCATCATCGTCGTCGCCGCGTTCTCATCTTCGTCTCAGCGGCTGCCGAGCTTGCCTCCTCTCTCGTCGCCCGCGCCGGCTTCCGAGCTTGCCTTCTCTCTCGCCGGCCACCGCGCTCGTCGCCCGTGCCAGCCACCGCGCTCGTCGCCCACGCCGGCCGCCCTATCCGCCGCCTCGCTCGCGTCGCCGTGGTGAGGGGTGACGCGAGTCACGCGACTCGCTCGCCCGAGCCTCGGGCGACTGCATCTAGCCAAATCGGCCGGATCCCTCTATCCAGCATCTGGGGGGAATATTTCCCTCCGGGCCGCCCTATCCCACTTTCACCCAGCAACCAAACACCCTCCAAAAAAGCGACGGCCATGTCCTATCCGGGTATATCCCACCAACCAAACACACCCTAAATACGCTCTCTTCGCCGCCAGCGAGCCCGCCACCGCCGCCGGTGACCAAACGAGAGATACGCTGTGAGATCTTAAATGGCACCGGATGGATTGAACTTCCCATGGAATCGATCTAGCAGAAAAGGGAGGGGGCGGTGACCATCGCCACGTTTGTTGCTCGCCGGTCGCTTAGCACTGAGGTGGTGGACGGGCGGAGGGGTCTCTCTCACTCGGGGAAGGGTCACGCCCTCTCCCTTTTCTCGAGCGCCGGCGGCGCACGTGCTTTCTTCTCCCCGTGTCCCGTTGCCCTTGTTGCCAAGGTGCTTGGAGCTCGACGGCGCGGAGGGCGCACACGAGCTCAGCGACATTGCGACCGACCCTCGCCCGCCCACCGCCGTCACTCTCGTCTGCGGCCTCCTTGGCCGTATACGGCGAAGAGGGAGAGAAAGGGAGAGAGCGAGGGGGAGGAGGAAGAAGGGAAGGAGAAATGATAACATGTGGGCCCCACATGTCAGTGGGTCCCATAATATATTTTGTGTGTGAATGACAGATTGGTCCCACATATATTTTTTTAATTCTAATACCACATAAGCACCACATGGAATGAAGACCGGGTCAGCACCGCTACGTCGCCCCCTCACCCCGTCAATCACGCATACATCGCCCCCTCCTCACGGCCTCACATCAGCGCGCCTGATCTCGCACATCCCTCTCCCTCTTGCCTTCCCAGAACCGCACCTCACCGCCGCCGCCCGCGATAGCCGCTGCCGCCGATTCCTCCAGATCTCCCTCACCCCATGGCCGCCAGCGATTCCTCTTCTCTCTCTCGGGCACAGCCTCACAGGACGAGCCGCCGCTCACCGCCGGCACGGAGAAAAGACCCCTTTTCTCCTCCCAAGGTTCACCGCAGCCACAAGCTCCTCCTCGAGATCGAGGCGCTCATGGAGGTGGAGCTCGAAGGAGGCAACGCACTGGGAGGTCGGCACAGGTGGCGGAAGCAGATCATGACTGGCGGAGCTTCGCCGGAGCCGCACCAACATGGATCCAGTGGCAGGGAGGAGAGAACTGAAGCCGCTGCCCTCACCGGAGCCAATCATGACGGGAGGAGCTTGAGCCCCGTCTCCGCGGCGGCGGATGGCGAATGGACGTTATAATTCTCTCATTTGCTAAATATTTCTCTACAGCTACTTTTCTTCGAACAAGAAATTATTGGAGGTTATTGACTAGGTCTGCAGGTACTTTTGAGTTTCATGGTTGATGTGTTCTGTAGTTTTGTAATCATTTGCCATGGATTACCACATGCCAATCTTTAATGTTTTTTATGAATGAATAGTGGAAGCACTGTAGGAGTCTCAAAATAACTCTAAGGGAAATAGAATTTGTCATCACCATCACAAGTCTAATTTTCAATAGAAACTCAGAGATGTACATGTGCTAAAGCAAATGTGAGACCATTAGCCTGTCACCTCCAAACCAACTAATCCTGACCTCCTGTCATCAACTGACAACCCTCCTCCCTGTAACAATCATGAAAAGAGCTGTGCCTGTGCAAAGCTTGAATTCTAGCTGAACTTGGCAAACTTGAGCTTTTTGAACTGTAAGAAATTGTATCGTGTCTACGAATTACGTTGTGTGCTTTATTTTTATTATGTGCAATTGTTGACCAAATTTTGCATATAGGAATCTTGCCGACAACAATTTTCAAGGTCCTATTCCTGCAAACATCAGTTCTTGCACTGCTCTAAACAAATTGTAAGTTAGGCAGTACTAAGCCAACTTATAATTTAACACATTAATTTTTACTCCGGTTGATTAATCATGTTTCTTTTGCCTCTCAGCAATGTTTATGGCAATGAGCTCAATGGTTCTATTCCTGCTGGTTTCCAGAAGTTGGAGAGTCTTGACTTACTTGTGAGTAATTGTATCTGTTGCATTATGCTTACAGTTATTACTCAATTCACTTAGGGAAGTTATTGTATTTGAACTAATGTTTTCCTTGCTTAAAAATATATTTAAAAAATGCAGGAACATATCTTCAAACAATTCCAAGGTAATAAATAATCCTTTTGAGCTTGGTCACATCATCAACTTGGACGCACTATAAGTAAACGCTTTTGCTATAATTATTTACCTGCTACTACAAGACCCGTGGGCACCTACAGATTTACTTGCTAGAATTCATGATTTGTCTTTACATTTTAATTCTGGTGATCATCTTCTTAGAGGAGTTGGGAACTTGTTCCATCATTCTTTTTTTTTTTCTTTCAACCAAAAGAATGAATTAAATGACCTGTGGGCTGCACTAAATGATACTCCTTTATTTTCTGAACATGGATCTTTCCAGGAATAAATTCTATGGATCAGTTCCTGCTACTATTGGTGATCTGGAGCACCTTCTTGAACTGTATGTTGCGGACCAACCTCCTAGAAACCATATTATTTTTACTTTTAATGAAAAACCATAATTTATTTCATATGGCCATTATTAATATTGATGCCTAATTTTTTATGCTTTGACTGAAGAAATTTGAGTAAAACCATCTTGATGGATCAGTTCCTGCTGAGTGATGGCCTGATGGGTCAGTTCCTGCTGAGGTTGGAAACTTGAAAAGCGTCCAAGTAATGTAAGTGTGTTCCCTTGACCTCAAGCCTGATAGTGGTTCTCTATCTCCTATGCAAAATAGAAAAGAGGGAATTGTTTTCCTTGAAAGGACTGCAAATGCCGCAAAAGAAGATTGTAAATAGCCTTCTGCCAATATGAGATTTTTTTTTTTAATTTGCAAGCAGTGGCGAAGCTATATTATCTTGGGGGGTGCATATGAACCCCCATATTCCTAACTTCTCACTTAAAAACACTAGAATGTACAGTGTTGTACTGAAAATTTCTAAATTCTCAATGGTAGTGCACCCCCTTGTTTTAATGCTAGCTTCGCCCCTGTTTGCAAGCACTGCAACTTTCAAAGAAGATGTAAGGTACATAAGGTTAAGGTTAATGCTATTGAGCACTGCATGCATGTATATTATCCTATCAAAATCATCTGAGAAACAGCTAAAGGTTTCATAATGTTTAGAATTTTCTCAACTAAATTCCTCTATCTGCCCTATCGTACGACGTGGCGCCGCGCTTTCCTTTTTAGTGGTTTACTAATGCTAATCATTGTTGATGAACTAATGCAGTTATTGGGTTTGTCTGGACATTTTGGTCTTGGAAACACCAATAACTTCGCCATCGTTGATGCTGCTGGAGCTTTTTTTTTTTAAAGTAATGTTGCTGGAGCTTTCATTGTAGGTTTAACAAAGGCTTAGTTAAGTGCCTTTTGTCCTCATCGCATTCTGGTTTGACTAATGAATTTTAACAGGGTATTTCAGGTTACTACATAGTTCTTTCTGGCATATTGATGTTCATAATTACATATGGATCACCTCTGTTGTTGTACCTTAGGATGGTGGTTTACATATCAGTAATAAGCAGTAAAATGGAACGATGGCCAATCGGGCATGCTAAAAATCACACGCGAGGGCGTTGCGGGCCCAATCGCAGCGCGGGCGCAGGTCTGCAAGCAGCAAGGGGCACGCAAAAAGGTGCAGGCCAAATTAATTCGTCCGCGTATTGGATAAGAGGGACACTCTGACATAAGAAAAAAGGAAATGATTTGATAGAAATATAAAATTAAAACCTATTTCAATACGGATGATGTACCAAAATTCTGATGAAAAGATCTTCAATTTTTATAATAGTAGAGAAGGGATTTGCATCATCAAATATCATCGTAGTGTTAGCACGGGCATATTACTAGTGCCCAGAAATTGTTCCTATACTGTTTAAATGAAGCCCATAAATTGTTCCTAGACCGTTTAAATAAAGCCCACAAATTTATTCAATCATTATTGCATAAAATTTAAACTATTATAAAGAAATACACGTCAGTAGGATCATGGGCTAAATTTAACCTAAATCTGGGGAGCATATAGTAATAAAAAAGTACAGAAAAAAAACTTTAAACATTCTATAGGCTTTAAAATATAATCTGGCATGCATTATAATGCAGAAAAATATGAGAAGTAAATTAAATAAATAAAAAGGAAACTGAGAGAAGATGGAAAAAATATGACTTTTAGCTTTTCATAAAAAAAATGTTAAATCAAAACTGAACAAAGTAACTAGCTTCATCATGAAAATATTCTACGTTGAAATGCAAAAAAAAAAAAATGGCAGCAAGAACTACATTATAACCATTTTTTTTATAAATATAATAAACATTAAATTTATCCAAGAAATAAAAAGTAAGCAATAAATTTATCTAAATGAAAACAATAAATAGGGAAACTAAATGTATGGAAGTAATTAGTAACAAGAAATTGCTAGGATCAATGAAAATATTTGCATAAATTAAAACGATTGTGCATGGTTTTTTCATGCAGTTTCAATGCAAAATGATGGGCATGAATCAGTAATCCAAGATACATTTATTTAGGATATAGAGTTCCTGCTATTCTATTACTCACGTGTGAAACTATCTATTTTATGGAAATAGCCCCAACTATTCCCTAACATCATATATATCCAGTGATTTCTCAAAGTTAAAAAGTCTATATAGCACAATAAACCCACAAATCAAGATATATTATTATTCATTTGAGATATTAATGGTAAGCCATATAAAAAATGAACTAAGCAAACATTTTTTTTATAATATAATTATATTATTAGTGGTTAAAAAAGAAAACTGTGGAAAATAATATACAATTAGAAAAAACTAAAACCAAGTCTAAAATTAAGTTCCATTTTTTTTAAGGCTGCAACAGATAAACTAACAAGCAGATGATGAGAAGTAACAAATATGAGCTATAAATTGGTTGGCGCGCTCGTTATCTAGTTTGATATAAAGTTTATCTTCAGTCGATTTCATATAAAAAGTTAGCTAAAAAACACACACATATATATGCGTAGCGTCATCATAAGTGCCGGTTTTAATTGACAACTTGTACCTGTGAACACATATGCGGGTTTTTATTAAGAACTGATACAAATGTGATGACCATATCTGTTGGTTCACAATAAAAACTAGCACTTGTTGCGTTGTATTCATAGGTGCCGATTTATTAGAAGAACTGACATCTTTGTGATGTTCATATATAGGTGCCACTTTATTGTAACAACCAGTACCAATGACTTGGGGGGTACTGTTAATAACGGTTTATTTATTCACTTGGCGTCCATGAGTGGTTATAGGTGCCGGTTTTTATTTATACACCCATGTAAAGGCGAGAAAATCCTCATATGTGCTCGCTTTCTATGTACCGACATTTATGATGACGCCCCTTATTAGATTTTTTGTGTAGTGTTTGGTGGTGGAATAAACTTATATCGCACCTTACTCTATCAGATTTCTTACCACTAGTTTCACCAAACTTAGATTTTAATAAAGAGTTTTTACAGCCTAATAACAATCTTAAACTTTATTTTGATCGAATAATAAAGTTGTCGTAGATAATTTTGTGGCGAATAGATTACTTTTGACATCGATTGTTAGATTCTAAATTCAGTCTAGTTTTAGTAAGACCAAGTAATTAAGGTTGTGCTCAGGCCGGTCGATGTCAATGCCATCATGCAAGAAAATGAAGGAGGAGGAGAGGCGCAAGCACGAGGTGGTGGCGCTGTATGAGCTAGGGCTTCGGCATGCTGGTGTTGGGGGTGGCACTGTTCGAGGGCTCCTTGCCGCAGGTCTCACACAAATAGTGATACAATCCACCTTGTTCAAGCACCTCAATTGGTGGAAGCTTCCGATGCCGCGTGACATCCGTATGATGCTTTTGATGCAGGAGGACGACAGCTGGTACCTGCCCAGTGATCGAGGTGGTGCTGGCGGCTGACTAGGGGCTCTCTGGGCTGCACATAGGGCTGTCAAAAAAGCTCGAGGCTCGCGAGCTGCTAGAGCTTGGCTCGTCCTAGGCTCGATTCAAGCTCGGCTCGAGCTCCAAACGAGCCGAACCCGAGCCTCTCCCTAAGCTCGCGAGCTTTGTCGAGCCGAGCTCGAGCTTCCAACGAGCCTAGTAATATATGATTTTTATTGTTATTTAATAAATTAGGAGATCAAATATGTTATTTGTATGCCTCATATGGACATCATATATTTATTTTATTCTTTTTTCCTCTTCTATTAATATGATGAACTAGAAATTAATTATTTTTTAATTGTTTTTAAAAGATTATCTTTGAAATATATATTATTTTACTTAAAAATCAAACTCGGTAGTTGAGCTCGAGCTTGGTCGAGCTCGAGGCAAGCCTGCCAAAAAGCTCGAACATTTTATAGGCTCGGTTCGAGCTTGGCTTGAGCACGCTCGTGGATAGGAGAGAGATGAGAGGACGAGGAAGGAGAAGGGGGTGATTTGGTCTAAAAATATTAGAAAATATAGTGAAGGTTAAGTATGGGCATATCCTAAATAAGTATAAAATTACATTGACATTAGAACAAATTATTAAATGAGCTCTTTTCCCATCCTTGAGAATGTACTATGAGGTACAATAAGGTACTATGTGGTACTAGGTACTACAAGGTACCAAATCAAATCTAGCCATTGATTTGGTTGGGGCATGATCGGAAAAAAAGAGGCATTCACTCATTGGGCCACTCGGTCGGCACCGCCAAAGCAACGAATACGGAGAATCTTCGCGCAACAATCCCTTCAAGTCCAGCACGAGTTGTCGTCCGCCGCAGCAGTTCCGCCGCTCTAGCCCCTTCTCATCCGCCGGTGCCGCCATTTAGTTCCACCGCCAGCGCCAATACCGGCTGGGAGCTTTTAGTTCCGCTGCCGCCCGACGACAGCCTGCCACTGCCGTCGTCCGGCGCCCGACCACAGCTGCCCACCGCCGTAGCTCGCCACCCGACCACAGCCGGCCGAGCACAGGTGCTCACCTCCGTCGCCCGCCGCCCGAGCACCTTTCTGTCCGTCGCTGCCAGCGATCCTGGACAGAGCAGCGCACCCCTATGTTGTACGCCTTCTGTGAGTTCCATCACCATCGCTTGTGTCTCTGTTTCTTACAACATTTGCTGTTTTTTTTTTATTAGCAATTAGTCCGAATCTGTATGAACTTGCTTTTTTATGTTTGGTATGTGTTTGACAGGTTGTTGCTGTTGTCAAAAATGATTGGTGATGGTTCAAGATTTGAGTATCAGGAAGAGTATCGTAAGTTTATGGGTATTGAACAGCTGTGCTCAAGGATGGATGTTCTTATGGATTAGGGGTTGATTTTGTCCAGCTTGTTGTTATTTGCACATTTGTTCCAAACCTGTATTACACTAGAAGTACTGCATTTTATATTTGCAAACTTTCTTATGGATTAGGGGTTGATTTTGCCCAGCATGTTGTTAAACTGCATCGGTATTGAGTGCAAAGCTCACATGTTGTGTGCCTGGATTTATACTTGTGTTTAAATCTGGCCGTTTCAGTACAAAGCTCACATGTTGTGTTCCTGGATTTGTACTTGTGTTTAAATCCCAACTATCCATGCTAGTAAGTGTATTAGTGCCAAATATGTTATGCGGCAGAATCAGAAACACCAGCTTTCATAAGTGAAACAAACACCAGCTTTCGTCAGCTTCCACATGGGCAACTATTAGACACTAGCCAGTTCAGAAACAACAGCAGCAAAAATTCATATACAGAACCGAAACAGCCAGATTTTCAATACTGAAGCATCCATTTAGGATTAAACAGATGTAGATGGCTCATCCATTAACTTAATTACATCATAGGAAGGCATCACAGTACATAATAGAAGGAACATTAAGACTAAGCACATCATCATTTAGTCTTAACGATTACTAGGGCATGACTGAATGAAGATGCATGCTGCCAATCTACCCGCCGTTGCGCAGTTCTGAACACCAGCCCCACCCTATATGCGGCAAGATCGCCTCCATTTCTCGAAGGGGGGCGCGAGCGGATGGACCGATCTAGGGATCTGCCATCCCCCATCATCTGCGCTGCTCCCACTGTTTGCGCCCACATGTAAATCGAAGAGAAATACGAGATCAAGAAAGAGAGCCGAGAGAATCAAAGAGAGGTCTTCCCTCTGCGTGCGCCCACGAAATCGGAGAGAAAAACGAGAGATGGAAATACCTCTGCGTGCACCAAGGCCGGATTCGAAATATGCGGAGGAAGAAGAAGGCCGGCTTCGTTTCTTTGAGAGACGAAAGAACGAAAGAGAGATGAGAGAAGGAAAGAGCCGAGCAGAATCATCGGTTGTTGCGGCATAAGGCAAAATTACTTTCCTACCCCTCCACCTGCCATACCGCATATATTAGCCCGTGCGGTACCAGGCGGTACGCTGCAATCTCATCCGTCCAATGAGGCCGGATCGATGGTTCAGATTTGGTACCGTACGGTACCTTAGAGCCTCAAGGACAGAAAAAATTCTCTTATTAAATAGTAATGATATTTTTCCTAACAGACAAATTTATAATGGTATGAATCTAATTAACCTTTATTTACAAGAAACAAATAAAGAGATCAATAAAAATAGAGATAAGTAGTTACTGTAATCGGTGGTAACAAATTATAAACCAATTTGGTTTAGCCCCCGTGCCCCACCAGTGCACTTAAGGGGAGAGGCGTGAGGAGGAGGGAACGCCTAAGTTCTGGTTGCAAAATCCAAAACCCTATAGAGAGCCAAATCAATCTCCAAGCGCTGGAAGTTGTTCATGCGGCTATTCCTGGCTAGTGTCGCTGGCCCTCCGAAGGAAGAAAACATTTACATGCTACATTAACACACCATCGACAAAAGGTTGATCAAGTCCGTGAACTACCTGCTGCTGCTGCAAGATGAAGGAAACACGATCATGTGGTAGGATATGTGTGGTTCTAAGAAAAAGTGCTTAAAAACCGAGAAGAGATTTCACCAATAAGAGGATCCAATATCCTACAAAGCCCGGTGAAATAAATCAGACGGTCCATGTCTTTAATTGTACGTGATACTTTGCGTTTTTGTGAGAAAAAATACACATTTTACTAATGTAGATATGTGGCATTTTTGAAGCTAGCTGGTGTGTTAATAGAGTATGTGTCATACTTGAGAAGGGGCGATCATAAGAAATATTCAGAATTTGGACAAATCAAAACAAACATGCATCTACTCTAGTCTCTTTTTATTTTTATTTTTGAGATCATACTCCAATTAAGTCGCAGTAAGTGATAACCATACACACTACCAAACAAGCCACCACGTACCCCAGTATGTTCTTTTTATTTGACATTGGTTAGTTCGAAATGAATTTCAACTGATCAACGTCAAATATATATAGTTAAGAGACAAGAGTCTTGTGCTGCAAAACGTCTGCAACTTTTCTGTTTTCTCATTCTCTTATAAATTTATAAGCATAGTGGTAGAGTGATACAAGGAGAAACAAGCACTACTTCGTACTTCAATTTCAGCTGCTCTCGATCCGACTTGTCCGCGCCATACACACACAGACACAAATGCACATACCGCGCATGTCCGAGGAAGAAACAAACAACACAAGCGTACATGCATTGATGCTGCAACCCACCTAGTGTTTTTTTTAGGGGGGAATTAGGTTCAATAATTATATAGTACATAAATAATTATAGTGTATATATATATATACACACACACACATAAACACACTGCAAGTATCTCTAGCATCTTTTCTTTAAGGATATGACGATCCAAGCAAACTTTGTCTTCTCCTTCTCAAGGTGGCTGGCAACACGGTGAGCATAGTCTGTGAACAGTGCACTTAATATGCCCTCTCCAAAATGGCTTGCAATTAGGGGCTCGGTTACGGCTCTAACACAGTTTGCGACATTGATTCCACTCAAGGCACTGTCGTGCACAATGTCACCTTGTGAGTCATCATAGGGATCCCAGTTGCACTCAAACAGATGCATATGGTCCATGTCAAACAAATTGACGCGATTCACAATTTCCTCCAACTCACCAACCGACGGACCATATACAGGTAGATTGAAGGAGTCAAGCTTTTCCTTCTCCACGAGACCCTATTAAGTATTAATACACATCGAAAGTTTAGTTTAGATTTTATTAACGTGGAAATCCCATAATTTTACTACACACACTGTCTCTAGGATAGTCATTTATCTATATTCTCTCTTTTCTAGATATTTAGAATATAGATAAAGGACTATCCTAGCTATATTAAGTGAGAGTTAGTGGTTAATTGGTGGATAAGATTGAATAAAATTTGAGTTGATTAATGTGGCAACCTATAATAGCTGTAAATCCGCACAGCCTAGCCCGGCAGACCCACTTATTACACATAGCAATCTACTTATACTTTTGTGCTCGTTTCATGTAAAAGGGTTAACTCAGAAGTTGTATGGTTAGAGCGACAAGGTTTTATAAGTTGGTTTTACTCTTGCTCAACTCATAAGATAGTACCAATTAAGTGTACATGACACTCATAGGCCACATCCTAATTGGGCCCAGAGTGTCACACAAATAGTACACCAAAAATCTCTTATATCATCGATAAGATAGGAGAGGCAAAGTCCCTTATATGACAGGATGTAGGTATATATTTGGTTAACCAAGAATACTCCAATCACAAAATCTATTGCACTTTAGGATGTGTGTAGTCAAACATAAAAATCATAAATTACTAACGATATATGCAAAACTATTGAGACATGATATATATATGTAAAAAAATGAAATTGATTAGTAGATTATATTTTCAATAATTAGTCAACAAGAATGCCTTTATGTAGATATATTTTCAATAATTTTCCATAGATCTATTTGAAGGAAAAGTTATGCTAAAATTACATATGCAGAGATGATTATGTCAATGTCTCATATATATGACAAGTAAAATAGAATGGGATCAAAGGAGTATATTACCTCAGCAACAAGAGATTGTAGTGATTTTCCAAGCAAACCAAAAATATCATTTACATCTCCACTATATGGGTCCTCACTCTTTCTTCCATAAATTGTTAGTACCATCCGCCCCCCATCCACTAGTTCCTCGTGGCGTAACTTGAGGAAGAGAGAGACGTCCTTGATGAACTGCTCTTGGAATAGCTTCACCACGTGTAGTGGGGTAGTCTTGGTGATGTAGATGTTTTCTTCATTTAGATATGATTTTTGCTTCCCATTAAGTTGCTCCGGCACCTAAGGAAGTGATATAGCACTTGTAATATATAACATTATCATGACGATTATGTGACTTAATAAGAGTGGAGAAAATACATGTTTGAAACTTGAAAGAGCATTTTGCATTATACTATCATCAACATTACCTACCTGTGAGCGCCAATGAAGGGACAACGAGGAGTGAAATAGGTGAACAGCTTGAGGAGGAAAAAGCCTGGTGTAATAAGATCCTGGTGCCCCATAGATATGGTATGCAGGTAGTATATCTCCTTTGTGATTTGATGCCCCCTTGAATGTGAATGTGTTCAATATCCGAAAGAGGTGGTTGAAGTCATTACCCGGTAGGTCATTTAAGAAGAACTGAAGATCCACCGTATCACTTTGTCCCAAATTGTTTTGGTGCTTCGTAAAGATGTTTATCACCTCAGAGACAAAATGTAATGTATTCTGTCCTGAAGAGCAACCAAGGTCGGCAACAACCATGATATTAGCTAGAAGGGTTGCGTACAGTTCTCGGATTGCCTTATCAAGGACAAACTTAGCCTCAATCATAGCTTTCGCCTAGCACCATATATACATACATGTCAAAATTCATTTATTGTTATAATTAAACATTGGATCTTTAGAAAGAAAAGGAGAAGGATAGACCATCTAATATCTATGTATAGGAACTCTTTTTTTTGTTAGATAGCATAGTACTAGGAAAATACTTTTTACAGGCAGCCGGTAACCCATTTTACATGCTTTTAACCAACTGCCTGTGATAATAGACCTGTAGAAAACAAATATTTCCTATAGGCAGATTACACAGGCAGTTCTTTAAGACAGCTGCATACTATAAAAATACTTACATGGCATATGTAGGAGAGTTATGACAAACGAAAATAACGTCTAATTAATAGTGTTTGAAAGAGGTCCGAGCAACTTTCTACAATTAATCTAGACGCTGATCAGGGAGTAGTGTTCCAAATGGATCTATATGTGCACTCCATGCATCATGGATGGTGCAACTTAGTTTTTCCTTAATCATGGCATGGTACAAGTATTGTTGCCAATGTGAATTGATGCTATCTCATTGCTTATTACTTACATGCAAGCTGTTGACACACCAAGCGAGGGGGAGGGGGGGGGGGGGTAAGGGAGGGAGAGAGATGGGTAGTTACTTGAACCCTGGAATTCTTGGCGTAGCTAATTTCTCCTTCCCCTCCAACCATGTGAAAGTCATGTTCTACGTTAACATTCATCGTGGTTGTGTGTTCCAATGGGAATAATAGCTAATACAATAATGTTGCACTGGCTCTCCCTTATGGTGTGCTATTTATAGAAATTAAGGCCAGGCAGATTTGTCATTTTCTAGAAGTATGAAACAAAAAGTAGGTGATTAGAGCCCAGAGAGGGAGAAAGTACAATTTGCAACCTTCTAAAAAGGTAACACACCTAGAGTAAATATTTATAATTTGAATAAAATAGAAATAAGAAAAATATGGAGAATAAGGGTGCTGGCCGAAAAAAGGAGGAATAGTAGATTCGTCACAAGGCGAGGCTGGCGTTGTTCAAAGGTCACCCCCTCCCCCCAGCAGCAGTGGTGGCTTGGCACAGCTATAAACAAATAAGGAAGAGGCCCATGATGGCGAGGATGCCCCTTCCCCGGTGTGCTGGTGGTTCCTAGCGGCGAAACCGACGATGTGGTGGTGAGGCGATGGGGTGCCGTGATGAAGGAGGTGAGGACATTGATGTCGGCCGAGGTCAACGCAGATCGAGGTGATTGATGGGTTGGGGAGGAGCTTGAGGCCGCCGGCGTCATGAAGTCTAGATCCAAGTACTGAAGAGGTGGTGGTGAGATCTAAGTTAGGGTGGAGCGGTGGCAGTGAGAGCTACCCAGCACACAACAAAGACCACATTTGTTTAATATCATATAGCAAATTTTGCCTAGGTTTTATAAACTTATTGTCATGTAAATTTTTGAAATCAAAGTTCTAAAGGTTAAACAAAAACATTCATTCGACTTTAACATAGTCACACTCATGTTGTTGTTGCCAAAATAGCACCCTCTTAATTTTAACACCACTTTAGGAAGGAGAATGAACTGTATTAGCTCGTTCCCCTGGTGTACCCTTTTAATTAACGAAAAATATAATTAATCATTGGCTTGTATAGGGGAAAAAATTTAACAGATAATTTAAATTAGGGGTCCGTCGGTATGTGTAGAACGGTTAACAGTGAGATCTTCACCTTACTAGTTATGAAAAATATTTGGTGACATATAAGAGAAGAGTGAAAATCTTAACATCGCTTAACACCACCTCGTAACCTCTAAAAAAAGTTGTGTGGCATTGGGATGACCAAGGAAGCCGAAAGAAGAGTAATAAAGTTTTCTTTGATGTGCTAATGGTTAGAGTCTTCGTCTTCTCATACGTTAATTTAGAGTGGTTACAAAAGTGAGTGCAAGAATATCGGTCTACAAAGAACTATATTAGGGAAACCATTGAAGATTTTGATGAAGTAGAAAAGCTAGGAAAAGGGTTTATATCGGCCGATCCATTAGAGGAAATAGATATAGGTGATGGAAATATACCAAGGCCGACTTTTGTAAACAAAAACATGAAAGCCGATTATAAGGTTAACGATTATAAGGTTAAGATAATCGAGTTGCTTAAAGAATACATTGATAGCTTTGCATGGGAGTACCATGAGATGCCGGAACTTAGCCCTGATCTTGTTGAACAATGGCTTTCGATAAAACCAGGATTTAGGCCTTATAAGAAACCACCTCGTCACTTTAATCCTCTATTATATGATCGGGTCAAGGAAGAGATAGACCGGTTATTGAAGGTGGGGTTTATTAGGCCATGTCGGTATGCGGAGTGGGTGTCTAGCATTATTCCGGTTGATAAGAAGGGGAGTGGTATGATTAGAGTGTGCATAGATTTTAGAGATTTGAAAAAACCTACTCCTAAAGATGAATATTCTATGCCTATAGCTCACATGTTTTTTTTACCGTGCCTATAGCCCACATGTTGATCAATGATTCTTCAGGACATAAGGTGATTAGTTTCTTGGATGGTAACGCCGGCTACAATCAAATCTTTATGGCGGAAGAGGATATGTTTTGTTTTCGCCCAATGGTACATGCTTTGAAACATCGGTTTGTTTGGAATATTTTTGTACAAATAATCAAGCCGAATATGATGCTTTATTATTCATCAAAAAGGCAGGGGGCATGCGTTTACACCTGAATTTGGCACCTAGGTTCAAAACAAGGAAAATTGCCAAGATTTGAGAAAGTTGTCGGTTTCCTCTACTAGGCCGGTCTGACCGCCATATATGGGCCGGTCTAACCTGCAGCATTTGGCCGGTCGTACCGGCAGAGTCCGAGACCGACTCTGTTTTCGTCGAGTCTTGAGATTCCTTACTCGGGAGGCTATGTTTTGGGTTTCCTTTGGTTTTTACCCCGAGTTGGACATGGAGGAGGGCCTCTAGAGGGCAAGACAAACCCCTATATAAGAGACAATGCCGGTTCAATTGTAATATACAACACACAATCTACATACAAGCTATTGAATCGTTTTTTCCTATATCGCATATACTTTTCTAGTTTAGTTCGTCCATCTTTGTCAATTTGCGTCACAAATCGTCTGCCTTCGCTGCGAGAATGCGAAATCCTTTGTAGATTTGTCCCATAAACCTTCCGTTTGCCCATGAGACGGGTAGTTATCCATCATTCTATCTAAATCGGCTCCGCTAGTCAGTTTAATCTATCAAAACCCATCTTAGTCTAGCTTTCCTATATCACCGCAAGGCGTTTAGGTGTCTCGATCGTGATTATCTTCTTCTAAAAAAAGTTACCAACTCTTGCTAGATCCAAGAAATGACGGCGAATTTAGTGACATGATTAATACAGTATACAGTAAGATTCGTTTCCTTTGTATAGCACGATATATAAAACCTTTGCTTGTGGACAAAACCATTGCTTTTCTCACCATGTCAATTATCTGTCATCAAACCTGTTTAGTTCTGATTCTTTCGGAAGCAATTATAAAGTTATCCCCTCAAAAATCGTTTGTTTCCGCCATGTTTGCAATCAGATACAGCGTTGTGGACATTTTGGTTTATACTCCCTAAACGAACACTATCGGGCACACACTAACAGCAGTTGCAGTAACTGTGCAGGCGAGCTGTCAAGACAGAATGATAAACAAAGCGAACTCGAGCTTGAGGCCTGCTTTTATCGAAAAGAAACTATGACCCTGTGTCCATGAGAGACCAATTTTCTTCCGTTGAAATGGACCAAAAACAGCCGTAATTTAATAAAACGAACATGAAAAAGATAAAATAAATTTACCACCCCTTGAAAAATAATATAATAATTTATTTTGTTACAAACCATGCAGTATAAATACAATTTGGATTTTATAATTTACAAGCAATTCAATGATTTAATTATTATAACATTGTGTTACACTTCTCTTTACTACTGTATGAATATTATTTAAAGCACCTAATAATAAATATTATGTACAAAATCAACTACCGTCATGTCAATACTTAAACTCAAAATTGTCATGTGGTCATCCGAGGATGGATCTAATTAAATAAACAAAACAGATAAAAAAATATTTACCGTAGAAAACAAATACAAATAATTGTTTCGGTTGCACACTTTATATATATACATAGCAAATAGTTCAGTTCAACAAGCAAGAGTGAAATGGAGTGAGAAATAAAAATAACCTTTTAGCAATCAATCTCCAACAACACCAAAAAATATGTTCTTTACTCGATCAGCTTGAGAGGAAGGGGATGAGCTATATATAGAGCTCATAGGTGTCGGTGGTGTTGGTTCTTAACTAGAACCGACACATATGTTTGACAGCTATATAGGTACTGATTATTTAAGTGGGTCCTCCAATGTCTACTTCCGGGAGTGAATGTCTCAAAAGTATTGGCTCTAAACTGGGCCTCGGAACCAACCACTATGATGGGATAGAATAAAGGTAAATTTTTGCTACGGGACATTGAGATTTCGTTGTTTTAGCTATAAGACGTTGCACAAAGTCACTTTTGGAGGAAAATACTCTGTAATTTTGGTTATTTGCAAGAGCACACCATGCTAATTATTTTAGTGTTTTAATGCTGACTAGGCGAGAGAGGGCCCACTTTTTGACGCGTCAGGACAAAATTAACCCTGGCACGCCGTGTGCTCAAGTGCATAGAGCACAGCGCAGAGCGCCGCTGTCGAGGTCTTCACCAGAGGGGGAGAGGAAGCTAGCGATGTCGGGAAGGAGGAGGGAAAGCCAACGAATGGATAGTGCCAACCGACGGCGGCAAGGAGGGGAAGGGGAAGCTAATAGAGGAGTTAGAGAAGCCGGCCGCAGCGGGGAGGAGGACACTTGCATCTAGGGTCACCGAGGGCCACGCGCCGCCGCAACTCCCTTCACGCATTGCCGGGGACGCCGAGGGTTGCGCACCACCCCAATGTCCTCTACTTGCCGCCGGAATCACCGCAGTTTCCTTCGTGTCGCCACCGAAGCTCCCTCCCTCCGTGTGCAGCGGCTACCTTCACGCGCACCTCCATCAGCAACACGAGCCAGGCCGCACTGTGCCCATGTGCACTGAGGGTAGCCAGACTGTGCCACCACCCACATGCGCTGAGGGTTTGCCAGGCTATGCCACCGTGGCGGAGTCAGATGATGCCAGGAGGGAGTCTGATGTTGCAGAAGAATATGACTAGTGGACCTAGGTGCATTTTTAACCTTTCACACTGTCTATCTCTCCTATTCAACCAGAAATCAATATTTTAATGTCTGCGGTGTCCATCAGTCAATAACCATATTTTCAGAATGCATTCCGCCAAAAATCAACTTTTGATGTGTCCTAGAGCTAAAACACAAAGTCACTGTGTCCTACAGCAAAATTTCCCTAGAATAAAAGGTGCTAGCTTTTTGCTGGAACATGCACCTTTCTCTGGCAGGAAAGATAGGTGAAGATTCAGTTAAAAACCGGCAACTATTTGGTCACAGGGGTACCGGTTTCTAGCCGTTGGCGTCCTATTGGCACGTGTTTAGGTGGGAAAAGTATTATAGGTATCGGTTTTAGTCCTTCTTTTAGTACGTTTCTATAATAATGTTAGTGTATTGCTATATTACGCGTCATCGAAACCGATTTTTTTTCTACGGGGTCAAAAACTTGATTACTCTGATTTTTGGCCCGTTACTGGGCTTTCATGCAGGTGGCCTACTTGATTATACTATCAGTCTCCGTACGGCAAGCACTCCCATGCAAATCTTGAT